GCGATAATAATGGTTTACAAGTCTTACTAATTTCTTCTTTTAATTTCTTCTGCTTAATCAGTAGATCAATTGTTTCGTTTTTTACGGCTTATCAACCCTTTGCAGTTTATTGAAAGCCAGAAGTGGATTCGTGCCTTTCCCAAGTGTATTTGAGCATAATTGAATTTGACGAAACTGATTAGAAGTGGAACTTAGCTCTGGTATTCCGAAGAGGTCAACATCTATGTACTAACAAGGCTCGACGTTGCTTAACTTCGGTGATCGTACTGGAATCGATGTTTCAACGTTATATGACCATCTCATGAAGATACATGGTATTAACATGAAAAAAAAAAAACTGTTAAATGCCAGGTTAATTGCCGAGAATCTGTTGTCGCTGTTTGCCCTATTTTAGAATCTATTAATAAATATATACGACAATTTGGAAAAATCTTATTTTCAAAGTGCCCTTGGTCGTAAGAAAAAGATGACGCTCATGTATTTCGGGAAGATTATAAAGTAAAACCTACAAACGTTTTCTTTCTGATATTGACCACAGGTAAATAAGATTGCGAAAACTGCTCTATACTAGTTAATTTATATCTGATCTAACTTTCCACTAAATAATAATGCCTAGAATTGATATTGATAATATATGATGTTTGAAAATAATATTTGCGAACTTTATCGTTCAGTGAAATATTTTGTTTTTATACCAAACACTTAAATAATTCCCTTAACTTACGGTCACTAATTCATTCTCTCCTGTAAATTGTATTTTTCTTTTCTACATGACTTACGACATTCAGAATTTTGAACTAGGCAACTTCGCATCAGAAATCAAAGACTATATTTTCGTTCTTTTATCTCCCCCCCTCTTAAAAACCTAATCCTCTGCTTATCGTATGCGCTTCATTTACTGTTCCCAAGGCGGCCATTAATAAACACCAATGCCGCGTCCATTCTTTATTCGCGTTCATATTTCTCGACATATCTTCCTTTTCATACGAACGATCATTTTTCTCTCTTTTTGATTCTCTCCCTCTCGCTTCCCCATTTTTTTTCTTTTCCCCTCTTACTTTTTACAAACCGACATTCTCAAATTCACCCCCTCTCTCCCCAGAACGCCAACTTCTGATACAATTATTATTGATGTCTCTTTGAGACTCATGATGTCTTTTTCCCGCCAACTTATAATTGGCGCCATATTTATTCATACACTTTCAACTTTTTCTTTCGTTTAAAATCTACCCACTCGCCGTATCATCATTTATCTTCCTCGAAAAATAGGATATATATATATATATATATATATATATATATATATATATATATATATATATATATATATAAGTATAGGATTGGTGTATACGGAATAAATTCCAATAACTAAAACTAGTCTTCTTAAAAGAGTGCTCAATACAGAGTAGAGCAAATATAATTTATTCGAAAATTATAATATAAATATGTTATAAAATCACTACAAAAATAGACGTTTTGTTTCAACACTTCTGGTGTATTATCAAGTGATGGTGTTGAATGCAGAATAAAGATTTTTTTCCTTTATTCTACATTGAACACCATCACTTGGTAAGACAGCCGAAGTGTTGAAACAAAATGGCTATTTTTGTAATGATTTTATATCATGTTTATGTTACAATTTTCGAATAAATTATATATATATGTGTGTGTGTGTGTGTGCGCGCGCACGCGCGCGTGTGTGTATGCATGTATGTATCGGCTAGACATGACGTGGTTTAAAAACCCGTATCTACGAACACAAAAGATGTTTTGTTTAGACAACATATTCAAAAACTGGGAATAACGTTGATTGTACTAATTAAAAAAATCACAACATTCTTTACGGAGAAAGTACATTGAAAGCCTACCAATAACAATATTACCAATCTATACTCAACTTGGTCTAAAGATTTGAATGCACGTGAAGCATGATTGACCAATGCAAATCAAACAATACAAAAGTAAAAAAATAGCAGAATTTCTTTCTTCTTTTTCTCTATATCCCATTCTCTGATTTGGCTTTAATATAAAAGCGAAATAGATTAGATTCATGAATGTTTCCAAATTGTTGCCTTATCATTCTTTTGGATTCCGATCTATATTTGATAGCAAATCATATATATATATATATATATATATATATATATATATATATATATATATATATATGTGTGTGTGTGTGTGTGTGTGTGTGTGTGTGTGTGTGTGTGTGTGTGTGTGTGTGTGTTTGTGTTGTGTGTTTGTGTGCGCGCGTTATTTATTATAGGAGATCAAATCAAAAACATGTTAAAATCGCTACACAATATCAATCGTGCTTCAACACTACAAATGAGTCTCTTCAGGCGATGATTAATTACTGTCGAGTGAACGATTAATTTAATTTTCAAAAATAGAATAATTCCTCTTTTTTCAAAAAAAAAAAAGAATTAAAAAGAGGCTTGTGGGTTTTACCGTGATTAACCAATCAAATATGACCAGCGCTAAATTCAAACTAACCGAAAAAAAAAGTTATATAGGTCATGACATGAAGTTGTCTGCATATAAATCCTAGACAATTTCCTTCCGGAGAGATGCAAATGGTTACATTATTACGCAAAATATATAGAAGTATGATGTTCCACTTTCACAAGAAGTTAAAGGGAAAGAGGTAGAGATGTAGTTTAACAGAAAGGTTAACTAGTTAAATGTGCGATCAGCTTCCTACATAACATTTTGTAGTTGATAATTAAAATGCCTCCTTAAGAAACTGGCAAATAAATGTTTAAAAAGGAGAACAGATTATAAATACAAAACTACTGTGGCAATTTAATATGCAATCGTTAGGTAAAGAGCATTCGTATAAGATGTTAATAATACTAACTAATCAATGTAAGATATTCATAATACTAACTAAATACTGGTCATATAAGATGTTAATAATAACAAGTAGACATCAATACAGACCTATATTAAATCTAAATGAACCTTACAAATAGAATAGTAAGTCATATAAGGTGCACCGCATTTCATCTACTAATTATTACGATAAGAAAAAGTATAATCAAATTCAAAGTTTAACCATATTGTCGAGTAAAATGTAGACTATGTCTACAATTTATAGTTAATTCACTTCTTTTGTTTAATAAGGAGTGTTTATCAGAAAATCTGATAATTTCTAGTTTTTCATGTAAGCATAAGAAACAAGGTTCATTTAAATAAAGAGCTATTCTCTTGCTATACGGACCGTTATTATCTATTCTATACTTTGATTACTATACGGATCGCTATTCCCTATTCTATCCTCTATTGCTATACGGACCTCCATCCTCTACTCTATTACTATACGAAACGCTATTCTCTACTTTATCCTCTCATACTATAATGACCGCTATTCTCTATACTATTCCCTATTTCTACACTGCTCTCTATACTGGTCACTGTATTGATTATCATTCGGGTTACTATTCGAGCGAGTATTGTCGAGAAAGTACAAGTCGTGCGTGTGTTATTGTAAGGCGTCTGACGCCAGCATTGTTCAACGGCGTTACTCTTGTTGTATCTTCGATTGCAATGTCTCTACTACAACAAGGATTATGGAAGCGACTTCTAGTATTCGTTGAATCACAAAACTTTCTTATCGCAATATTTTTTTAATATCCTTCAAGTCTAATCGAGGAGACGTGTAATTTATAGTTGTGGAACTTGCAAGGAGTTTATTCAATCATAACTTTAGGCATTATGACTCGTCAGAGAATTCAAATAAGAAAAAAACTTAAATTTTCGAGTGAAGTGTTAGTTGCATTATATACCAAGAATTCCCCCCGTGGATTATTTCGTATCTGAAGTAAATCTTTTCACCAGAAAACATTTTTTTAATTAAGGAATTAACACTTTTTCTACTATAATACAATTTTTCAGAAATAACATATGATATTAATACTCATTAACACCGGAATGGCACCAAACATGAAAACCCTTCACAACTTCTGTGAAATGCTCTCCCATTTTAGTTTATTTTCGTTTGATGACAAGACACATTTTTCTTGATCTTTCTTGCTGTTATACCTGACGTACCTATTATTAATAGACTCTCCCGCATATAATAAGTAGTAGTAGTAGTAGTAGTAGTAGTAGTAGTAGCGGTCGCCAGTTGGGGCTCAGTGGTATTGAGCGAGTCAGTCGATATCGGACATTGAAGTACCAACCATCACAACTAGATTGCCGCGTCATTAACTCTTATTTCAAGTTCCTAACGTTTTGTACGTCGAACCTAATTTAGGACGACTTATTGAAATACAAGCCTCCACTGTGAAAACTACTCTACCACACTTTCAAAATGATCTTTATTGTTATTGTGCTAGTTATACATTTCCATATGATGTGAAGGTCTAATGTCTGAATGCACGTAAATGCAAACATTTTGAATTGAACTCATTTGTAAAGACAGTGAGTTCGTTCCAACTGAAATTCCCGGGCAAAACAACCTTCACAGAGCCTGCTCTTTTTTTAAATCGTTAAATGCAAGGCAGTAAAGCCACTAAGAACACAAAGGTTTGCAGAGTATGGAAGAATTAGGAAGAGAAACATTAATAGTAAGCCGTAAAAGAGAAGAGTAACAATAAGGGCATTACATTTGACATTACTTGACATTACATTTAAATTTTTGTAGATTAAAATTGGCTGGAAAGCATAGTACTGAAAGGGGGTTCCACAAGCGAGAAGTGCGAGAACTTACAGCTACATCTAGCCAGCTTAACTGTAAACTGATGTGATCTCGACGCCAGTCTAGTGCTGCGCTTAAATTAAAAAATCTAGGTATCATAGGGAAGAGCTCACCCGGACATTTACCATGAAAGTATTTATAGAAAAGGACACAGGGAGGCAACCTTAGGGCGGTGGGCAAGTGACTGAAGTCGAGCTACCAGACCAGGACCAATAATATTGCTGATTCTTCTTTGGATCTTATCAAGGAGCTCAAGGTAAATAGGAGAAAATAAATAACGGGAAATGAAAGTACAAACGGTAAATACGCAGCCGAAAAGTTTAAAAGAAAGAAAGAAAGAAAGAAAGAAAGAAAGAAAACAATAAATAATAGAGAACGCGGATACAGGCAATAAAAAATGGTAAAGAAGGAACAAAGAATGAAAGTAAGACAACGAAAGAAAAATTGGCAATCGAAGAAGCTATGAAATAAATAAAATATATAAATGCAGAAAAATGCTGTTATAGTGGAACACACCTATTTTATAGTTAATAGACTCTCCCACCTATAATAAGTAGGAGTAGTAAGAGTAACAAGTCAGTCGCTAAGTCGCTCTGTGGGTCGGTCAGTCAGTCGATGCCGGACGACAGTTAGATTACTCTGCGTTATACCTATTATATCAAGTTCCTAACGTTTTGTACGTCGAACCTATTTTAGGACCGACTTAGTACAAATACAAGCCCACACTGTGAAATCACTCCATAACAAATGCAAAGCAAGAAAGAAGGAAGGAAATATAAAAAAGGAAAAACACATAGCCATGGAGAGAAAATGAGACACGGGAAACGAAGGAAAGTTAATGAAATAATTAAAAAGAAAAGAAAGAGCAAAGAGAAGAAAAGGTAAAAAAAAAAAAATGAAAAAAAGCAAAAAGACATAGGGAAAAAGAAAAAAAGAAAGAAAGAAAGAAAGAATGAAGAAAGAAAGAAAAAGATAAAATATTTTAAATAACGGAAGACAAAAAAGAAAAGTGGAATCTGAGAAAAGGCTAAAAGCCAGCAATATAAAAAATTAAAAAGAAAGAAAAATAAAAGAATAACATATATTTGGAAAGAAATCCCTCCCTTATCTTTGGTTACCTATAAAACAAGATAATTTTGATTTTCTAAGCGCGGCTTAGATGTGGAACGTGGCCGAAAGTCTGTGGCAGCCAGTAAGGATCGCACTCACAATTCAGTCGTAACGATTTTAGCGAGACCAGCTTGCTAACCATTACACCACGTCGAGGCGCCCGAGAATGTGATAGTAACAAACGGTGCACATGCGTAGAAGGCTAAACACCAAAGTGTAATCAGCAGGCGAAGATTTATAACGAAGAACGAAAAACATTGTAAATGCTAAACTGCGAAAAGTGATGCTTTGTGAGATTCAGACAAGCAATATCATCTAGGAATGTAACCGGAGCTTGTGGAGAGAAACATTATCTTGGCCGTGTAATCACTGGCGACGATTGACCTGTTGACATGTTAGATTTATTATATGGGTTACGTTTCGTTTTCTGATTTTGCCAATATACAAGCCACGTTTTGCATCAACCGAACTGACGGTCTTTTTGAAATACGTCACTCGACTACTTCTGGCCATGGATGCTGTAGAGTACAGATATTGAGATGATGTGATTTGTGTTCTATATATAAATAGGAACACACACGCATCAAAGAAAGAAAGAAAGAGACATGGAAGAAAACAAAGGAAGAAAGAAAAGAAAAAAAACGTAGGTAAGAAATATAGAATGGAAATAAAGAAGGAAAAAATAAACAAACAAGCAAATAAAAAAGAGGAAAAGAACGAAGAAAAGAAAGAAGAAAAGTAACAAACAAAAGAAAGAAGAAAAGAAAGAAAGAACTAGAAATAAAAAAGAAGGAAAGAAATGAAAAAAGACAGAAGAAAAAAAAGAAATGAAGCAAACAAAACAAAGAAAGAAAGAAAGAAAGAAAGAAAGAAAAGAAAGAAAGAAAGAAAGAAAGAAAAGCCAAAAGAAAGAAGAAAAGAAAGGAAGAAAAAAATAAGAAAACACAGTACCCTTTTGAGTCGGGCAATATTTGAAATGGGCAATAGTGGTGAGATTAGCCCTTTCCTTACAAGGAAATATTCAGCATACATTTACAGAGCAGACCATACTACTAGAGTTATGCATTTCTTTACTAACTGCTAATAGCCCAGGATCAAAATGATGTATCTGTTCAACTCGTCTCTAATAATAATGGTAATATTAGCCGTTTCCTTATCAGGAAAATTTTGGTAATCATTGACCGAAAAGTGAGCGTTACCATCAGTTGTAATTTATATCTTAGTCTTAAAAAGTAATCTTTGAAGAAAATAGGCTTCTCAATTTCACTAAGTTTTATCACTTTTTCTTTCATGGGGTTTCCTTCCTAACCTTTTGTTTAAAGGAGTGTGGAAAATCAACATCTTATTATGTTACATGTGCTATCCATTTTAGTAACAATATTGTTACGATTTCATATTTTAATCGTGCGACAGTGTATTCTCCCAATTAATCCCTTTAAACTATTTTCATTGTTCCAGTTATAAATAAAATAATAATTTTCGTCAACGATTTTTCTCTGTCGAAGGGCTGGCCGAAAGGTTCCTTAGAAATTTCTTTCTATCTACTTTTTAGCATTAAGATGATGATATCTGTCCTATCATCCATATCAGTCAAATCTCTCTCTCTCTCTCTCTATCTATCTCTCTTCTATCTATCTATATATATATATATATATATATATATATATATATATATATATGTTAAATAATATATAGACAAGTTTTGTCTATTTATTTTAAGTAAGTTCTTTTCATATTGTCGTCTGATATGTTTAATAATATTATCATTGAAGGACGAAAGGAAATCACCATATTGATACATGTTTAAATCTAATCTAAGCTTTCGGCTTACATATGCCATTATCAAAGATGACAATTACTTTTCAATATATCAACCAATACACGGACGAAACAATAATGAGAGTCTGTTTTTGTGGCATGAAAAATTTCAAAGCAATGTCTAACACGTGTATACGAGACGCGGAAGCGGAAATCGTGTCGCAGCTCGTGACTTCACACATGACCACGTGAGAGTGAAAACGAGAAGTATTAAGTATGGGAAGCCGTTGGTATAAACCAATGGCTTCGGTTATCAATTATAGGCATTTAAGAATATTTGTGGGGATTTCGTAGTTTATTTTGTTCAGGTTAGGTTTCAACTGTTTTATGTATATAGCTTCAAGAATTTTTAGTTTTTGTTTATTGTTTTCATGTTTAAGTATATTTAATGAAACATGCATCAATGAAAAATTGCTGCCTAAATATACACAGTATATAAGCGTGTGTGTGAGTGTGTGAGTGTGTGTGTGCGTACGTGCGTGTGTGTGGGGGGGGGCATTAACACTTTGCTAAACAGTATCTCTTTCATTGGACCAAAGTGTTGGAAGTCTGAGGATGCTAAGTCAGGTGGTGATGAAGAAGTGAAAATTGGCAGCCAGCTGGGTTTTATGAAGCTGAGATACATGCCTCACTCGTAAAGAGGTGATGACCATGTTGAAAAGTAGAGATGTGAACGTGGGTTGTATAAGTATATCTTCATGTACAATAGGTTTTATTGTGTTCCTTATTTTTTATATATCATGAAAGAAACTACATTACTATTTAACTTACCCTCACAATCAAACACACACAGATAGATAGATAGATAGATAGATAGATACCGGGTATAACAGTAAAATTGTTCAAATCGTGTAACAGCAAAATTGTCCATTTGTGTGATTAAGCTCTGAACCGTTGTATCTTAGAAATGATTAAATATATCTTACTGGAATTGTCCGATGTTTTTATAACACTATTGGACTCTACTTTGAGCAACAAGAATGCATAATTACTCTCCAAGCTTAACATGAGAATACATTTTCATCATTAATTAATCATAGCTAAGTATTTAGCTTCAGAAGTACAGCCTCCCAAAGAACATTTAAATTTATATACAATGTTAGTCTTTTGTAAGATTCTAGTTGGCGGATGCTAGTTCTCTGATAAAAATGTTAATGCATATGTTTATTTTACAACGACGACGTTGACGAGACGGCTTAGATTTCACTTGAATGAGCATAGTTCAATCTCAGAGCATTTAAAAGCAACACTCATGAAGACATCCACAGTTTAGACAGATATTAATCGAAAATCCATTACTATTTCATCAAAATAACAAAAAAAACTTAAAATTCTGGAAGAGAGTTGCGGCCAAAAATAAAAATAAAGTCAACTATGAGAATAGCAACAAGTTCTTAAATGTTTGTAGCAGCAAAATTTTATATAAAAATACAGAATTAAAATAATAATTAAAAATCTTTTCTCTTTTTAAGAAATTACAAAAGTTACTTCCCTTGCATAATTAACAAAAATGAACTTGAAACGCTGCAGTGAAAACGAACAGTGAAAAAATTATTTTGGATTTACGGAGTTACTGCATATACATCCACAAATATTTTAATCCCACTGAAGAGAGTCTCAGATGAGATTGATAGAACTTTGGAAAATAAAAATCATTTGAAAGAAATTTTTGGTATTTTTCTTGATTAATTTTCTACAGTCACCAAGAAATTAAGGATTAAAACTAAAATAAATAGGCATAATACATCTATGTATTTTAACCAATGAAAATGCTTCAATGAAAATATGCTGCCTAAATATATATATATATATATATGTGTGTGTGTGTGTGTGTGTGTGTGTGTGTGTGTGTGTGTGTGTGTAATGTAAATCCATTTAAACTTAGTAGGTGAAAAATGCTAGATAGTACAATTTTCAAACAAAGTGGCACTCGAGGCAAAAAAAAAAAAAGAAAGAAAATTTGAAAAAAAGAAAGAACCAGAAACTTCCAAACAGGACAAAAGAACTCATCCAGTACCTTAAATCTCTGGTACAAAGGAGAAAAAAACAGCGAGTAATAAAGTAAATGAAGTGTTCAGTGGGACCGTCAGGGTGAACTGACCAGTTCACCCTGATGATCCCATATGGTGAAACCTAGGTAGGTATTACCTGGCTCATTAGCAGTGACACGCATAAGTATTGGATACATGTTATTTTCTGTTATAACTCGAGTTTATGTTCGCCATTTTGCCTGATATTTGGTAAGTAATATCTCGTAAAGTTGTTTTAGTTGTATGCGGAAGGAAAATTAAAAACTCATGGTTGAAACCATTTTTTTTTATCAAAGTTCAAAATTACCCTATGCAAAAGTATTGGATACATCAATTTAATATTTTGTTGCGTAGCCTCTGTTTTGTTTCACTGCTTCCAGTCGCTTTCTATAGTTGACCACAAGTTTTCCACACTGATCCACCGCTACTTTACCCCATTCTTCCTTGCATAATTCCTCTAATTGCTTGATATTTTGTGGATTCCGCTTATGAACTTTAACCTTCAAAGTATTCCACAAATTATCAATTGGATTCAAGTCAGGAGATTGACTTGGCCAATTGAGAGTACTAATACCATTATTTTCAAACCATTCCTTTGTAAGTTTTGCGGTATCTTTGGGATCATTGTCGTGTTGAAGCACGAAATTCCGACCATGTCCTAAAGAAGTTGCAGATTTCTGAAGGTTCTTCTCTAGAATCTCCTTGTACATGCTACCATTCATTCTACCATGGACAACTTGTAATTCACCAGTGCCTTTGGATGAAAAGCATCCCCATATCATAATGGAATCACCCCTAAACTTAACTGTGGGGATGGTATTGTGCTTGTTGAAGGCAGTGCCATTTTTCGCCAAACACTTGTCGCTGTGTTCCTTCCCAAAAGTTCAACTTTCGTTTCATCCGACCAGATTAAGAAAAATGAAAAACTGCATATCTTTCTTTTCATAAGTTTTGATGAACTTTAATCGGTCTTTGAAATGTTTGTTTTTCAGTAAAGCCACTTTTCTTGGTGATCTTGAATGAAAGCCTGTATGATATAGAGTTCTGCTAATGGTATCCTTATTTAAATTAATTCCAGCACCCTCAAGATCAGTTTTAATTTCAGAACGAGTAATGAAGGGTTTTTTTTTTTGCACGTTTCTGCTGATCCACCTTGAAGTATTGTCATTTATTTTTCTCGATCTTCTATTTCTTGGAAGGTTTGCTGTACTGTCGCCATACTTCTTATATTTTCTGATGACATTTTCTACTGTACTTCGTGCTAGATTAATTTCTTTGGTAATTTTTCGTTAACCTTGTCCTCCTTTGTGACGTTCAATGATTCTATCTCGCATATTTATGGATAATTCTTTAGTTTTTGCCATTTTTAATCCTTTAATTGGAGAATGTACATCAAAGTGTCAGATGATTAGTATCACTATCTTGTAAACAATTCTTTGCTTCTCTGATTGGTCAGAGATAACATTCCAATACTATCGAAAATTTGAATATTTAAAGTCTTTTAAAATACAAAGTTTCAATTGAGAATTTGAAAAAAGTGTCATGTATCCAATACTTTTGCATAGGGTAATTTTGAACTTTGATAAAAAAATGGATTCAACCATGAGTTTTTAATTTTCCTTCCACATACAACTAAAACAACTTTACGAGATATTACTTACCAAATATCAGGCAAAATGGCGAACATAAACTCGAGTTATAACAGAAAATAACATGTATCCAATACTTATGCGTGTCACTGTATATATATATATATATATATAAACATCCCAAAAAAATCTTTAAGTATACAAATAGAAAAAATGACGTATGAATTTTTTGCAGTTAACAATAAAATTTTTAAAAAATCCAGATGACATGCATTTAACGGATGTCAGAATTCGTTGAAAAATACATCCCTACCCCTCCCTAAACGTAACCCCTTTTTCGAATGTAACTAATAACTGATACAACAAAAGTTAATGAAAATGAACACGCAACACCCCTTGTCTGGATAAGTGTACTTCTCTGTATCCTTGGAAACAGTGAATTATGAATTTTTGCCGTGCCTTTAAAACTTAGTAAATTTAAAAATAAGTTACTCCAAAACACGCTTGAGGATGAAATTGAACTAATAACCCTTAATTTAATTACAAAATTAAATTCTAATCTTTTAGATCCCATTTTTGAAGCATGGTTAGAACTGTGTAGCGAAAGAACTATATTGTAAATCAGTTAATTTATAATATTAATGCTCTGTAAATTTACATTGAGCACTATTTTGTAAAAATAAAAATATCTATAAGAAAACCGGATTATATATCTTACTGTTCTTTCTTTTTATTTTATATATATATATATATATACGGAAAAGATTTCTTGAACTGTTTATATTTTATACTTTTTATATTTTATATTTATATACGTTTTCACAACATCGCCCATGACGACTATGTGATCATATTTAAACGGAAACTTGTATAAAAAACATTATCTGGATTTAATTTTCTTTTTGTGTTCAATTTTATATAATTTTTTTTTTTGATATACTTAAAACCGAAAATTGAAGAATTGCATATTCAGATTTTTGTTTGTTTTTTACTATATATTATATAAGAACTAAACATTACAGATTTAAATCCAGATTTCTTTTTAATGTTAACTGTGACCCAAATGTGTTTTAAAATTTTAAATGAAATGTTATTTTATAAAAAAAGTTTAAATGCGAAGATCGAGAAAGAATAAAATTTTAAAAAAATAACACGGTTATAACAATATTTCAATGAATTCACTCAGGCTTGCAGTATTTGGTACAATCCACTTAGGGCTTTACCTATTTTGAATAATTCGTTAAAGCGTAAATAATTTGCGTATGTGCTATTTATATCGTTGTATATGTCGGCTATCTTCATACTTTTCAGTTAGAATTGGCAGAGATGAAACACAATATCAACGCCAAAAGCCCTCAATGAAATAATGTTGAACCATCTAATATTGGCCCAAATGAAACGCTTTACAATGATATTAAAAATAGATCACTCCCCACCCGAGTCGTTTTTATTCCAAATTTCTAACACGGTATATTTCATCTCAGGCTCTGGCATTTATTTATTTAAATCATTTCCTTTTTGTTTCTTTGCCAGGAGAAATACAATCAAAATAGCCCCAGTGTATATATATATATATATATATATATATATATATATATATATATATATATATATATATATATATATATATATATATATATATATATATATATATATATATATATATATATATATATATATCAATTTTTTATATTTAGTTTTTCTAATATTCTGATAATTTTCCGTTTTCGTGACTGTAAGGGAATGTAAAAATTATGGGGAAAATGACCGAGAGCGGTTGAGAAAATAGACATTAAGGAAGATTTTTATACTCGCTTACTCCCCCCCCTACACACACACACACAAACACACACACACCAACACCACTACCAAGCGGGAAAATGTACGTGTTGTGGGGCTCTCCCCTTTTTTACATAAGATGGACTCGTCCAAAGTATACTTATAATGACAGAGAGAATACCTGCTGGTTGAGATACGTCGCGATTTTTAGGGGGGGTCACTACGACAACTTGAACGGGGGATGGACTTTCGATATTATGTTGGTTCAGAAGGCCTTTAAGTCCATCCCCAACTGTTTGGATTTAGGCGGCCGGAAAATGCCGGTCATTGTGATCGGTAGGAAACCTACTTGCTGGAGGTGTGGAGAAACTGGTCACCTTTCCTCCTCCTGCCCAGGGAAGAAGACCCCTGGAGTTCCGGCCGCTGGCGACCAAAATCCCCCTTTGGCCGAGACTGTCAAATCCGCGGCGCCT